TATTGAATGCTTCAAGAATCATCTTTCTGTTGCATGCTGATTACGTTATTGCATTAATGAGTAACATGGTGTGGAAGAGAGAGGAATGTGATTAAGAATTGTTGCGTTTCGTTTTGAAACACTGTGTGTGTTACAAATAATGGAATGAAACTGTTGTTTTTATATGTACTATGGGTTATAACTGACGCAATTGCATTTGGAAAGGTTTGTAAATGATGAGAGAAAATAGATTCAAAAAAGTGAAACTATGTGACACCATTCACATAAAGTGCAATAAATTTTATTTATTTTTTTAATATTTGAAACTTCTTTTGGAATGGTTTTTAGAATTTAATTTGGGTTGTGCGTAACATATACTCAACTGATTGTAACTTAGTTAAATACTCTACAACGGATAAATCATTTATTTATTTTTATAGAAGTTATAATTAATAATTGTGTTAATTGGGCATAAGTGGGTAATCCATAGAATTCGCTAACTTACAGTTTACCTCCTCATTTTTATTTATTTAATATAAATTGTTTTAATATTTTTGCACATATTAAAAATGTAATTGTTATTATATAAAAAAATTATGAATGATTTTATAAAATTATCCTTTATTAAAATAAAAAATATATAAATTTAAAAAATTAAAATAAGAGAGAACAATAAATAATTGAGAGTAAAACAGAAAAAATATCATTAATGATTTATTAATATTATAAAAATATTCATAATTCGGTACAATTTTTTTAAAAAATGACTTATAATAAGAAACAATATTATTAATGATTTATTAATATTATAAAAAAATTATAATTGAGTACAATTTTTTTTGAAAGCGATTTATAATAAAAGAAACAGAGTATGTACTTGAAAAGATTCCATTCTATTGACATAAGCAAATGTGATAAAACATTTTAGTAGTATTATTATTCTGTAGTATCAATCATTTGACTCTAGAGTCCAGCGTGATCCACTTGCTTGTTTTAAAGGATTTCCATCGCGTAGTGAATTGGTTTCCACCATCAATTATTTATTTCTAAAAACTGTTTCCTGTTTCCTTTTGGCTGAAGCTTTATTATCTGTTATGTTTTCATAAAACCGCCACTTCCGTAGCGTAATTGCACATAGCATGTGTGATATGTGCAGAACAAAAGTTACAAGAAAACAGAGGAGTTATACAGTAACACTAGAAGAGTAAACGTAAAACATATTCCAGTGTATTAATCCTCAGCTGTTTTTACAATAATTACAGTGTGAGACTTAACATAATTGTTTTTCTGTTACAAATGAATATATACATTGTTCCTAAAATGAATATCCTTTTTCGAAACCGGCTAATATATGAAAGAAATAGAACTTCTTTAGGTCCAGATACAAACAACTCCATTCTTGTCAGCTGAAGCTAAGGGTCTTCCAAGACCACTCCATGCACAGCACAGGATAGAAGAAGTATGTTCCTTCAGAGTACAGACTGTTTCAGCTTTAGATGCCGACCACACATAGACTGACCCATCATATGATCCGGCGGCAACATTTTGATCATCCGGACTAATACACGAGCGACTCCAGTTAGAGGCCACTCGATTTCCTTCAGCTTTTAGTGTGCTGCTAACTTCTAGAGATCGCACGTCAAACAAATTGTGTGAATTGTCCCTTCCACTGGTTAATACAACATTTCCATTTCGGGAAAGAGATATTGACGTGACAGCAAGTGAATGTGCCACAACCTCGCTAAGTAGTTTCCCGGTTTTGATATCCCATAATCTAAGATTTCCATCAATGTGTCCAGAAAATATGGTCTGTCCATCACTGCTGAAGCAAAGAGCATTGCAGTTGCTGTGGAAAATTATTGTGTTAGTGCAATAACCTTTAAGCAAATCCCAGACTTTTATAGTGCGATCGTAAGCGGCGCTGACAACATGACGGCTGGAAACCTTGCTGACATCAACAGCACATACTTTATCTTTGTGGCCAGTAAGGGTATGATGGACGCGACCCGAGTTGAGATCCCACGCACACAAGTTGTTTGAGCTGCTAGCAGCAATAACAGATTGATTATCATTGGTGATTGCGAGATCTAATACAGATCCGAGGCATCCATAAAGATTGGAAATTAAGGAGCCTGAATCTGTATCCCACACTTTAACTGTTCGATCCTGTCCCCCGGTAATCAATTTATTGGAATTGTTCTCGAACAATATGGAAGCACAACCACCTTCATGTGCTTGGAGTCTGTGTTTGCATGTGGAAGGGATGTTTGATTGTAAAAAGGCATCGGTACCGTGTTCACTTCGGCGAACTATGCCATCTATTTGCTGCCTTGCAAATTTTTCTAAACCACTAGCCTTTAGCTGCTTGATCATATCATCATACAGTTGGTTTGCCTAAGTTGATAGAAAGTATAATAGTTATATCAGCACCATGAAACATTCAGAATCTATGCAGCTAATAGAATTAAAATATCATCACAGTTTAGTATTTAATGCTGTAACAATCACACAATTACTTGACTCGGCGGCATATAATCTAAATTTCACGCAATCACAAAATAAGTTCAAAACTAGATGCAATAGTGGCAGAGTGTAACATTGTCAGAGAACTGACATCTACAAATAAGACCATGACACAATTATCAGATTAAAGGCAAATGAACTACTCCCTCCGGTCCTTTTTATAAGAGACATTTCACCTTTCTAGATTCATTGAATAATTAATGTACTGGACTGTTTACAGACCAGATACATTAATTATTCAATGAATCTAAAAAAGTGAAGTGTTTCTTATAAAAGAACCGGAGGGAATACTAAATTACAATCCGATTGATTACCTGGCTGAACTTTATTATTTCAAATAATTATAGTCTTGTTTCAATAAACAGCTTCTTTGAAGCTGTTATTATGAAAACAACAGCTTACAAGCTATAAGCTGTTCTTATATGGTATCTTGGAGAACTTATGAAAATAAGTTAAAAACAGCTTATAAACAATGTCATAAGTTGTTTTCACAAGTTCTCTCAAACAATCTACACAGGCCCTATGTTCATATGGAGAACGTACAAACAACCATTTATTTCAAATGTTCGTATGGAGAATGATAATGTATTATAACCTCATTTAGTTGTTCGGCGTTCTTCATTTTTTCTAACATCACGCGATCCACCAATGTCTTATTTTCAGTTTCAGCATTCTTGGCTCTAACTGTCATCTGCTCCAAATGTACTTTAAGTTCTGCATTCTCACTCAGAACCACTTCAAGAGCTTTAATTTTGTCTTCCAAGTCCTTTTTCAATTGCATGCACTCATCCCTGCAAAATTTATTTGAGTCGCTTTCTTAACTCATAAGCAAAATGTTTGAACTATAAAGTAACAACAGTACAAGACTTTTGCAGTGTCATCAAATATCCTCCATGGCGGAGCTATGGCAGATATACATGACGGTTTTTGGGCTCACTGCAATAGTAAATATCAGTCGATATTGCGGGTTTTTCCGCTATAACGGCGTCGCGAAGCGGCTGGAATGGCGGGACTTTGGCTCTTCGCCATGGAACGCCATCCACCATCGACAACACCGGGCTTTTGGAATTAAAAACATAAAAGGGAAAACAAGCAACCTTGCTTCAGTCAACTCTTTTTGCAAACCAGCAGTTGCAGTTTCTTTCTCTTGAACCAAAGCTTTCAAAATTCTTGATTCAGCTATTTCCTCAACAAGCTGCTCAGATACTCGGGATTGAGCTTTGTAGCATTGCTGAAGTTCCACTTCAAAACTCTCTGCTTTCTCTTTCCATTCAGAGCCCTATAAGGACACAAATACAACATTTAACTAAGTAAAAACATCCAATATTTAAATGCACACGACGGTCCAAGTAACAACAGCAATTAGGATCCTGTTTAAAAAAGCAACAATAAGCATCTATTAGTACTGACTCCAAAAGTAAGAAACTGTTTCCACCAGTTCAGGGTCCACTCAGCGGTACATATGGGCATCTGCCAGCTCCACTAAGCCTGCGCGTCCCTGTTTAACCATTTCTACCTGGCTGTCATGAAAAAGGTAATGCTGGTTAGAAACTGCACTACTACTCCTAAAAAAGTGAGCTCGTCGCTCATCTCGAGACGCTATAGCAGCATCTGAATCCGCATAAGACCTGATGGAAGAAGCAAGATGGGTAACCACCTCCCTAAAGTTCAGATTGCTGGAGTTCCCCACTCCATCTTCTGCAGAAGAATCGTCGATACTTCCCTTAGTAGAAGGGACGAGGAGTCCGTTACCACTTTCTACAGAACCCCCTCCAGATCTAGAGCTATCACTAAGCACAATGAAGTTGGGATTGGGGTCATTAACTTCTAGTGGATCTGCATTTGGGACATCACGATTCTCATATATCACTAATACTGGAGAATCTACACCATCATGCCCATCCATTATGTTCTTAGGAATTGGTAGTGAGATTACTTATTACATTCAATCACTTTCATTTTCTCAAATTAAACAAGTGCCCAAGTGTCAGTGTCAATTTCTTGTCCAGTGGATATGTTACTACTTACTATCTATTAAAGACTGAAAAATGCTTCTAAAAGCACTATTCCTTACTAAATAGAAATCAAAGATCCATTAATATTTCTACAAACTAATTAGGGATTGCGACAAAGGTTTCATTTAATTCAAATCTACTAGAAACCAAATATGAATTTGTGATCAATTTCAGAAAGAAAAAAACCCTAAAACAAAGCGCATAAAAGGAACCTGGGAAACAATAGGTTTAGAAAGAGCAGCAAAAGCAGAAGCATGAGCTCCTTCTTCGCTCAAATGCCGCTTCCGTAGAGACCTCAAAGCACGTTTGATTGCTTCATTTGCAAATTCTTCCTTTGACTTGCAAGAATTCGCCATGCAACAAAAACCCCAATTCAATCACCAAACCGTGAATATCACCTGTTTGATTGCAAAGAAAATAAAATCAAACGGTGCGAAAAAATTTCAGACCGACAAAGATTGAAGGTTTGAAGGATAAATTTACCTTCATCACAGTTTGGAATTTTAGTATTTGTTGTTGACTTCAACAAGTATAACCAGAGCAACGAAAATTGATAATAATATTTACATAAGATGAAGAAGCTTGAGTTTCCATCAACTTCAATTTCAAGGAAGTGGCATTTCCAAACACTGATCTTTGAAATGTAATTTTTGGATTTACTAAAAGTGTTTTGGTTTTGTGTTTTCTTCTTAAAATTAAAACTAATAAGAATACTAACATTAAAGTGTGAATTCATTTAATGGGCTAACATTCACAAAAGTATAAATATAGGATAATAATATGGATCAAACTTTTAAGTATTAATCCATATTTATAAATATATATATAGTATAAAGACTTTTCAAGATTTTTATTAGATTAAAATTTTTAATTTAATTAAAAAAGAAAATATATAAATGGAAGAATAGTGGCCTGGAGCAATAAAACTAGGGGTGATAAAAGGGATTGATCGCCCTCTCCCACCCTTTCCCGTCTTAAACTTGCCAAAAAAAAAGCGGGACGGACAAGCCTGTCAAATGGAAATTGGTATAAGAATCAAGCTCAACCCGTCAAGGTGGCGGGCGGAGGACTTGTCCGTCTATTTTTATTTATTTATTTTTAAAAATTTTTTAATAAGTTTTTTTTTTTTTACATTTCAATTAGATTTTTCACTTATTTTTTAGAATAATTTTTTATAAAAAGCATCTTTTTAACAAATTATATTTAAATTTTTTTTTACATGTATTCACAAATAAATAAATAAAATAAAATCATCAAGAATTGAAATGACTAGAATTAACTAAAAAGGGACAGACTTAAGGTGAGACGTAAAGAATCGGCGGAACGAACTTTAACGGGCGATAAATTTTGGCGGAACGAACTTTGACGGGTGGTGGGTTTTGACGGGGCAGATTTTGGTGAACCGCGGATCTAAAATTCTAACTCAATCTATCATTTTTTACCGAATACATGGACTAATCTAGCGGGCCACGACCCATTTTACCACTCCTAAGTAAAACTTTAATATGAAGACAATGCATAAATATTGACTTGTCATTTACAAAATATGATGTTGTCAAAACACTACTAAACTTAATCTTTTATTTTGCTCCATTTTTAACAATTTTCAAAACAAAAGCATCATTGAAATTAAAAAAATGAAAGGAAGGGTGTTGTTCTATTCTCTACCGCAACTGTTTGTTAATTCCAAAATTTGCTTTTAACCCGGTTATCAAGAAAAACAATTTCAAGATCCAAACATGGATAAAGGTTGAAACTTCTGCATACACAAAAAATAAAATATCTCAGATAAACATAAACCATTTTAGAAGAAGCCTCCTTAAAGTGGGAAGTGTCTCATATGAAGAAACTTTCAAGATTCAGTGCACTCATCAAATGTTTTGTCTTTAATAATTTTTTGCCTCTTCTAAACTACTTAGATGCTATAAAACCTAGAATCATTTTTTTCTAGAAACAATTAGCACCCAACGAATCAACAGCGTCAAAAAGTATCTATATGGACCATGGAAAAGAACCATGCATTGCTCCCTTTCATAAACAATTGTATATTGAGGACTGTTCTCAACCATTATCAATCATTCTTAACCACATACACAACTTCTAGTCATTCTCCATCTAATTCTAATTTTAAAATCCATAAATTTTAGAATAAGAAAGAGAATTAGCAAAATAGATTCACTATAACTCAAGTACATAATACATAGACAATAATGAAATAATTAATCAGACAAAACTTGTCAATTCTAACCTACAATCTAAAAACAACAACAAAAATAAGAGGATGAAATAATCTTACATTTCCATTTAGAACCTACCATTCATCACCATCTGAAAAATTTCCAACACATAATTAGACACAATTATGCACAATTCATTCATTGTTATTTACCTTAATGTAGTTGGATTTTTAGGCCATAAGTGTTGACATTACTCTAAAGAATGAGATGTGTGTCTAAGACTGTCCCTCCATAGATGAACATTTTCTATTTCACACCTCAGACTGATAGTAAATATCTTACATGTCTTCAAATCGTCATCAATATACATGTTTTGTTTGTACTCGTCAGACATCTGGTACACCTCCTTAAAAACACTCATTGTTTCTATAATAAAAAGCGACAATTATAATTGGTAACAAAAATTTTGTGTGGATTCTCGTTAAACGTGTATTACTATAATAAAAAGCAACGATTACAATTGGTAACAAAAATAAAGTATTTAATATTATTCAAATGAAATCAATTTAGAATAAAAGTAACAACAAAACCCAACCTTGTCATTTTTCCACAAACTATTTACCTCAGGGTAAATTCGGTAATTTACCTTGGTCGATTTCGATTTGCACCGAGTGAGTACAATCGAATGTGCCACCATAGTAGAATCCCCATCTTCTTCCTTTTTCACCCTTCCCTTTAACAACAACTCTTTAACATTTTCCAAATATCTAACTGAACCAAATATCTCAGTAGTACCTATGGAATCCTCTTTATCATAAACGAACTCTCTATTCAGTGATTGCGAACTTCTCATTATCGAAAATAGACTTTGTCTCTTTGTTCCTCAAAGGTGAACTCTAAAACCTACTCACAAGAGAAGAAGATCTGTACGGAGTGGATATACACTGCGTTAACAGTAAAGGGTTTAGGGGAATAAGGTTCTTGAGTTGTTTCAATGGTGTTGTTGTTGTTTTTCTTGCAGAGAATGAACATGAGGCTTGATTTTGACTTTTTGCTTCTACTTGATGCATTGGTTTTTAGGAATTGCAATAATGGTGGAGGAAATTTATCTGTGCGGGCTGGGCTTGAAATGGTTTTTGATGGTGTCTTCATGTTTTAATTTTAATGCATTTCGACTATAATTACTGCCCATGGGAAGTTGTGTGATTGTTCATTCTCCAGATATTTTATTTTGCTTTTGAATGTTTTTTCCCACGTTTTTTTGTTGAAGTTTAATAGACAATTGAAGCTTAATTAGAGGTTAATAAAATAATAAAATAAATTAAAAATAAGGATGAAAAAATGGAGAGATGACACTTTATTAGTTATAAATTTCAAATCAATATAAGTGAAGCAAGCTTGGAATAAGATATTATTAATCCTGGAATCAGAAAAGTTTGAACATAATCTCATAAGGGTAGTTATGGTTTTTCCAAATACTTTATATTTTATATATTTATAATAGATAAAGTGAATTCTTATTTACCTAAAAAATAGCTGAGACAATAAAAAATTATATTATTTACACTCGTTCTGTTTTAAAATAAGTATCGTTTTAGAAAATAAAATTTATTTTAAAATGAATATCATTATCACTTTTCAATGTAAAAATGATTGTTAATTTTTCAATCATGTCCTTTAATTATTACTTTTTACACTATTTCCAACACATTTACGAGATTAATATAATAAAAGTTCAATGTCTTATGATACTATTATTATATTTTTTAATTTGTGTGCAAAAAATTTAAATAACATTTAATTTGAAACGGAAAAAAATGTGTTATTTAAAAAATTATTAAATATAATTAAATTAAATACTATTAATTGATTGCTTGAGATCGATGTCATTTTAAAATATAATAGTATTAAATTAAATACTATTATGTTGCGAAATAGAAAAAAGTTCAATATATAAGAATAATATCAACATACTATATTGCGAAATAGAAGACAACGAGTTGAATGTGGGGTGTCACAATTAGGGGTGTTCGCGGTGCGGTTTGAGCGGTTTTGAAGCAAAAAATCATCCGAACCGCATGAGAAAAAAACACACGGTTCGGTTTGGTTCGGTTGACTTTTAAAAATAAATCCGAACCAAACCAAATCAAACTAATGGGGTTTGGATTGGTTCGGTTGGTTCGGTTTTTTACAAAAAAAATTATTAAGTCATACAAACAAATATAGAGGAAAATATAATTTTGTGTTTAATTGTTTGTACATTACCATAAAATTTTATAATTGACAAAATAAGTTTATAATTTGATACATAAAATTGCGTATTATAATTTTATCTAAATCTAAAGAATGATATAAACAAGATTGCATTCTTAAATAAATATTATACAAAGAATACGATAAAATATATTTTGTGAAAATAGTATTTATAAATGAATAATATTTTTTTTATTTATGATTTGTAAATTAAAATGAATATAATACAAAGTATGATAAAATATACACATAATACATGTTTATTTCTCTAAAGAATTAAAGAAATATATATTGGTTAGTAAGATTTTATAACGTAATGCGGTTTAGTTTGGTTTAGTTTGGTTTTTAAAATACAAACCGCAAACCGAACCGAACCGTGCGGTTCCGCAAGAAAATGACCCAAACACATCCGAACCAAATGTGATTTTTGCGGTTTCGATTTGGTTCGGTTCAATTTTGCGGTTTTCTATTAGGCCGGTTTGGTTTTGAACATCCCTAATCACAACCAACCATTAAGTGAGATTCACGCATTACATGTGTAAATAGCCAATAAGAATAATATATAATGTTTACCTGTAAATATTATTGGACTTTATAATCATTTTAAGAGACAATCAATTAAATCAAACAGTTTTAAGCTTCTTTTTTTAATTTTATATTTTATACATTGCGTAGTTTAGTAACTCAACATCTTCACACATCATACTTAACGCTTTTTGGAGTACTTAAAGAATGTATAACTAAGGGACAAAATTCCTCCCTTATGCAATCACTTAAATAAGGATTAGTCAATTAGTGATTTTAGTTCATTCCTTAATTAACATTAAAGTTCAACAACAAATATGATACTTCCACCTTGATGCCTACGTTAGGGAAGGGCACTTATTCATAAGAAGATAAGATGAAATATATCTTTAATATCACAAAAGTTGAAAATATATTTGATTATCTTCTTAAATATAAACATATTTAGATAATATATGGTCATAATATTCTTCCATTCAACGAAATCAAAGGCAAAATGTACTTTAAGTGGCACAATTTATATAACCAGAAACCGACTAATTGTATTGTCTTTTGGAAAACCATTAAGAAGGCTATCTAGGAGGGAAGGTTTTAGTTAGTTGGTGAATTTTAGAGATAGTTGTTGATATCTATCATTTCCCAAATATGAATGTGGATATGGTGTCCTTATCATTACATACGTGGTTCAAGACAATTGGAAAAGATAAGTACATGGCGAAACAAGTTTGTCAACCTAAATTTAGATCACATGAATCCGTAGATGGAGAGAAAAAGATGAGTG